CTGCAGCTAAAACTGAAATAACAAAAAGAATTGAAAAACCTGCAATTGGATGCGGCACGTTGATTCAACGCAGCATTCTGATGTATCGTGTTGTTGGACAAAATGGATCACAATTCCGATAGAGTTAAGATATGTACGTCAAAATCACAAATCGGAATGCATGGGTTGTCCATGCGGTTTTTTTGGACATCTCAGAAAATGTCGATCGCACATGCAACGGAAATGAATTAAGCATACCGGTAACAAGTCTGATGGAGAAACGGGCAGTTCATATTGAAGCAAAATTCCAATCAGACAAAAATAGAAAATGGTAAAAACAGCAAGGTTCAAAACGGAGTAGGGAATTAGTCTAGTGGGCTTTCAGCTGCCACTGAGTGCAAAACCTAAGAGTTTGTGGGAGTTCTCATTAGTGACCCACATACGTCCTCTTTGATGGTGGACGCATCCGCCATTCATGGTTTTCTGTACGCATTCCCATTCTCCCCCTTGCTTTACGGCCTCAGCCGTTCCCCATCCTACCGCAACTGCCAGAATGTTACTTGTATTCTTTGCAGCGTACCATGCTGCATGTGTGATTCTGGCCATTTCTTTGTCATCCCAAGCTCTGTCGTTGGTTCTTTTAGATCCAAGACTGAAAAATGAGCAAGATTGGTTGTTGTGTAAACGGCTAGGTCCGATCTTTTGATCAGAAAAAATGCCTTTGATGCCTCCAATACTGCTAGCATGAACCAAATTCACATGTTGTACTTCCTGGAGGTTCATCGCAGGTGCAGCTCGTACTGGGTCTGGTATTTCTCTTTGAGAGAAATGTCCTTTGATAAGGTAATAATGACTCTTGCCCAAATCAGTAGGATGATGTTCATGATCTTGAGGGTCATAAACAAGCAACTTCATTGTGGACAAATGATCAGGAGTATACCTGGTGGAGTCCAGAATTTGTGCAACGAATTTCACCATACTGTCCATCATCGGGTAGTCATCATCTTGATGATTTTTTAACCAAGATCGAATATTTGCCTGGTTCGGAGTGACTGGCTGACTGGTTGGTGTCATTTCGTGATGTCCTGAGCGATCTAATAGAGGGAAGGCTGAAAACGGTCTCAAGGGAGGAGGAGCAGGAACTCTGGGAGGAGGAACATGCGCTCTGGGAGGAATGTTTCCAACATACGGGTCCCAAAGGCCAGTATGAATGTCCCATTGACCTGGTGGAGGACGAAGAGCTTGAGAGAAAGAAGAACGAGCCGTTCTAACTGACCTACCTCTTTCAGATCTCGAAGTGGACCTCAGAGAATGGTGATCACGATGATGGTGACGGTGATGGGATGCTCGATGACGACGTCTTGTTCTGGATCTGGAGCAACTTGATGTTGTGCGTCTTTCCTGTTTGTCATCATCTGTTCCAACCGGCACCTGAGGTTGGACTGCTGACGGTCGACGAGGTACGGAGATCGTTCCTGGAATTGCGGCTGGGGCTACTACCGGAGTTGCTGGAGGAGCATGTGGTGTCAATGCCAGTCTTACTGCTGGCTTCGCCGGTGCTTTGGGTGGCCGAGGTGGAGTCGGGTCCACGTTGCCGGCCACGAAATAAACATTATACACCGGAGTCGACATGGCTCAGAAAACTAGAGAAAGGAAAATGGAAAATGTGTTGTCTAATATGACAACTTGCTAACTGTACAAGGATTGATCAGTTAGACAACTAACAAATGATAACGTATTGTTGCTTGCTCAACTGTACACCAAAAGGCATTCATGTGTACAAACACAATTCATCCAATTGGAATTCAATGCTAAGGCTTCAAGTGTGGAATTCAGAAAATTCATCTTATTGGTGACTATCAGTCGCCAAAATTGTCAAAAGTCAAATTCAAGTTCAAACTCAGTGGATTCAAGCTATTTTTGCCGGATAGCATACCGGGATCTATTCTCTCAAATGCACGCTTTGTGTCAGAGACACACGTTCAATCATTGCAATGAGCCACCGTGGCTGAATTCAAGAGTCAAATTCACTTGTGGATTCTCGCACTCCCAGGGGAGATACGACGCCTGGAATTCCAGGATCACGACCGGACTTTGACAGATCCCACGGCCGAAATACACACTTGCGAAGTCATGAAAGACGGTCTCTTCTCATGAATGCAAAGTCTGATTACCTCATGGTAGATTGAAGGCATCACTCGGCCATACTGAGTTAAAAAAGGCCAAGCTTATCCGTTGACATTTGAATGTCAGGTTGTTTAAAAAAGAAACCAATACGGCTCAATCAAAAGTGATCATGAAATGACTGAATGACGGCATGCAGGTTCTTGGGTTAGCCTGATCCCATAAAGTACTAACAGATACGAATATGACCACCAGCTATGACCCCAACATATTGGGTATGTCATCCAGGTGCATCATGCAGGTACGTTTTCACAACCTAAGGTGAGCGTCTTCATTGGCACAAGACTCACCAAAGGTCCTTGTGCCCCCTGCTATGAATTAAAATGCAACGGTATCCAAAATTTATGGTGGAAAGCAGTGGAAAACTAGTTGGTTGGAATCAGTCGCAAGAAAGTGAGGAACTCTTTGGTACAGAGCTTGACACACACACACACACACGCACACACACACACACTTACATTACATGTCTCTTACCTTTAAATTTACAATCAACTATATACACAATTATACACACATAATATGCGTACTACACTTGCATGTTCATGTGCTTGCATTTTTGTGCACACACCAACCCCTCCATCTACTCATACATCAACACATAGATACATAGATACAAAATGATACACAGATACAAAAGTGCATACAAGGCAGAAAGATAGATACAAAAACATATCACGAAAGGTAGCGTCAGCTACCTGAGTTCTCCGTGCTTCAGCACAAGCATAGGGGGTATTGGGGGGCCAGCGCGGGCTAAACGTGGAATTCTCGCCGTTATGTATTGGATATCAATTATAAGGGGGGGGGGCCCCCCCCCTCTAAAATGGTCATGGGTTCAATTCCCACGGGTGACGCGGTCACGGGCCCCCCACACTAGAGGCACACTCTCCATAAGGGAGATGTCCCTGTAGTCCAGCATAGTTGGTTTGCTTCAGCCTCAACAACAGTTGCTGCAAGGGGTCTTAAAAAGGGGTTTTAAATAAACCCCTTTTCGTGCATCATTTCACGCTGCACAAGACACCGTATCATGCAGTCATGCTCTGGATAAAATCATCTTAGACTGCGCAAAAACGTTTTTGGTGTATCATCTTGGGGGCGCAGCATTTTGACACCACTCCTCTCCCACTACACTACCTTTCGTCCGCCTCCGCCTGCTCTCAAGTTTCGAACACGTCACAGGACACTCCCATGCAATACAACACAAAGCAGTCCAGTACAATACAACACAATACAAGACAGACAACACGCTACGCCACGTTACTTTACAACACAACACATACGGACAAACACGCAGTACATTATGTTAACTTCGTTTCCTGCCCTTACCTTAGATTACCTGCATTGCATTGCATCAAACTACATTCTACTACATTACATTGCACTACAGTACATTTCACTGCATTACAATCCATTGCGTTTCACTACGCTGCATTGCAATGATGTCATTCCAAGGGTACTAACAGGAACGCGCACATATAGGTACATACATAGAAATATGGATGTATACATAAATACACTGATTCTAGCATAGACGCATATGCACACATGTATGGCAAACATCCTTACACACACACACGCCAAAGATACCGAGATTCATAGACGCATAAATGCACAACATACTACGATGTTACGCTGCATTTCATATACGTAGATCATGTGAGAATCGTACATGCATCGGTACATGCATGTTTTCGTTGTGTTCACCGTCCGATTCATGGCAAGGCATTGCATAATGTTCACACACAGAGACATTCATAGATACATAGAGACATACATAGATACATAGAGACATACATAGATACATAGAGACATATATATAGATATACATAGAGACATACATAGAGACATACATAGTTACATAGAGACATACATAGCTGTACACATACAAAGATACATACAAAGATGCATCCCATTTCGTTGTGCGGCATTACATTTTGTGTTACGTGACGCCACACGACACCGCAATGCTAGATTTCACATTATACAAGCTCATCCATGCATCCAAACACACTCACATATACGTTGCATTACATGCATAAATGTGTATGCATGTAAAATAATGTACATTATATATATATATATGTATGTAAAATATATATCTATATATATATATGTCTAATATAAATATATGTAAAATAGATATATGTATAATATATATGTGTATAATATGTCGATGCCAGCTAATGCATGCATGTTGTTTGCACTGTGGCATGTGCAACTTACCATTTCCCCTGTTCACCCGCCGCTGGGCTCATAGGGCGCCCTTTTGAGTGGTGGCTGGCTACGAGGCGGTGTAACCGCATCAACAACGTGGAAAACAAGAAGCTGGTCCCATTCGCAACTTCGTGCGTGGTTTGGGAGGATCTGGATTGGGGGATAAGGAACTGTGGTTTCCTAGGACTTCCTCTACTACCAGATCGATATTGGTAGCGGAGCCCAATCTGGGCTGCCGCAGGTACTTCGTCCTGAACTTGTTCATCACCCTTGCCTTTGACTTCGGTGGCAACGATGGTTGGTGGGCAAGCATCTGACGGTGCCAACAACCCTGGAGGAGCTGCAGTACTACGACTGGCCCTCAGAATGGTGGAGCGATAGCAAATGGAGCACAAGGTGGTCAAAACGAGTTCAATCGCGGCTTGGACTCAGGTTTGGCCAAAGCAGCACCATCTGCTGCTGGACTGACACAGTCCACATACAGGTCCTTCAGAAGGAGACTTGACCTGTTCAGCCGACAATGTAGAAGACGAGGTCAAGGAGTAGCTCTTGAAGGAGCTTATCTAGTTCTTTCACAACTACAAGACGTAGCATGGGAAGCAACAGAGGGATTGGACTACGACGACATGGAGCTGAGTGATGATCCCTTCAAACCCTTGCTGGTCATCTTGGACAGACTTTTTCAACATGAAGAAGAAGTAGAACTCCCTGAACGATGCCAAGAGTTCTTTGAGAAGTTTGCCCGAGAACGAGGTGAAGAACTACAAGCCTACTTGGTGAGGCATCAATCGATGCTTCGAAAGCTGAAAGAGCTCCAGGTGGACATACCACCCCTTCTTGCTGGTTGGCATCTTTTGCAAAGGTCTGGAGTGCCGCGGTGGACCCATGTCCAGGTCAAAGCGATGTGCAACGGAGACATGTCAGTTGACCGAGTCTCCAAAGCTTTGATCCGTATGTTTGGCGGTGACAGCAAGCCGAACGCCAAGGACTCCATCCTCAAAGGTGAGATTCACTACATGGATGCCGAGTATGATGACCTTGAGGACTATGGCTTTGATGATGTCTATTACCAGGATGATGACGCCTACCCCTATGGCTATGACCCTGACTATGACGACACCATTGATGAGGTGGAGTACACGGGTGAAGCTGATGAGGATGTTCCGCAAGAACTGGATGAAGCTTCACTTGCAGTGGAGGATGCCTTCATCAACTACTTGGACTCACGAAAGAAGATGCGAGAACTCGCTCTCAGCCGAGGTTTTTACCCTGTGGTTGCCATCGGCATGGATGACAATGGTGGTGCGTTCAAGGGGCGTGGAAAAGCCTCTGGTGGAAAGGGCAAGTCAAAAGGAAAAGGATGTGGAAAGAGCAGCGGAGGAAAAGGAAAATCTGCTGGAAAAGGACATCCTTTGCCTGGTGCCCGACGATACGTTTTTGGACGTCGGCGTGCAGGTGACTCTACATCAACTTCTTCGACGACGGCATCTGCAAAGTCCACGACTAGTGGAAGCACGTCTCAACATGGCCCAAGATTCAAGCGCTACAGGCTTCCAGCCAACGGCATCAAGGAAGTCCCTGATGAAGTCACCATGGTGGAGGACAACTTTGTCAGCGAGGTGAATCAGATCCCAGTTGATTACACCACCCATGAGAGCATCAACTTTGTCAGCCAAGCTGTTGGTTGGGCTATCATGGACAGTGGAGCCACTCGCACAGTTTGTGGTGAAGCCAACTGGAACAAGATCTTGGATTACCTCAGCTTGAGGAACATGGAGCCTGACATCGACAAGGAGACAAAGGACTTCAGGTTTGGAGATGGTGCCATGGTGAGATCGCTTTTCAGAGCGATGATCCCTGTCTGCGTTGGCAAGACCTGGCGACAACTAATTGTGCACGTCCTTCCAGGACACACACCTTTGCTTTTGGCACGCCCAGATCTTGAATCTTGGCAGACGGTGGTGGACTATGGAAGAAAAACTGTGATGATCGGTGACGTGCAGGTGAAGCCAGCGTTCACAACCAACGGGCACTACATGATCAACATCTTTGACGACCTTGAGGACGTCTTGAGCTTTGCAGAGCTGGACAACATCGACGTTTCTGTGGAGACCTTCGTGGATTCAATGATCACCGATGAGGTCTCTGACTTTGAGGCCGACCTTGACGTCGAGGTGTCAGAAAAAGAAGCGGAGGAGTTTGTCTTCGCTGCAAGCATGAAAAGTCAACAACATGAGCGCAAGCTCAAGTTTTGGGAAGTCTATGTGGATGAAGGGAACCTGAGCAAGTACCTGCAACGAGCATACCATGATGTGGAGGTCAGGCAGTTCTCACTGCCAACTTGGAACTTTGAGATGAAAGAGCAACAAGCCGCTTTTCGACGTCTTGTTGAGCAAGAAGAACCACATCACGTCATGGTGACGCCTGAATGTCGTCTCTGGTCACCAATGCAGAACTTGAACTACAGAACACCAGAGAGACGGGAACTGCTCAGAGATCTGAGGATCTTAGAAGAAGAGACCCACTTGACCTTTTACAAGGACATCCACATCGACGGCAAGCGCCTGGTCTATGACACGACTTTTGAGAACCCTGCAGACGCAGCTTCATTCGAAACCCCAACTTTGGACTCCATGAAGGGCTACTTTGAAACAGTCCTGGATCGCTGCCGCACAAAGCTGAAAGCAAGTCCTGAGGACGAGATGTATGTGAGAAAGCCTACAAGGTTTCGATCAAGCTCAAGAGCGGTCTGCGAGGCGGTGAACTTGCGTTGTGAATGCCCCCGAGGAGCTCATGTCCAAATGATGGGACGCGGCTCGGTCCTCAAGAACATGCAGAACTACGAGCCTGAACTTTGCCAACGTCTTGGCAATGCCATTTACTCTGCAATGGAAATGGCATGGAAGAAACGAGGACAAGCTGAATTGATGACCATGGAGGTCGTGGGGAAATCGACTGAAGAAATGCAGTACCTTGAGCAGAACAAGGAGCTCATCAAGATCGGTGGCCATGAAATCTTGAAGTCGGTGGCCAATCTTCATCGACAACTTGGGCATCCCAATGGAGCCAAGCTGGTTCTGGCGGTGAAGGCACGACACCTTCCCAATGAATTTGTCCAGGTGGCCCGGAGATACAAGTGTCCGACCTGTTTGGCCAGGGGACAACCCAAGAATGTGCGTGTGGCGACTTTGCACAAATCCCCACACTTCAACCACTCCGTGGCCATCGACACCTTCTATGTGGAATGGGACGGCAAACAGCGTGCGGTCTTCACCATCATGGATGAGTTCAGTCGCTATGAAGTTGACATGGAGATCAAAGAAGAGACGGCTGACATGGAGATAGCTCTCTTCGAGTCAACTTGGAGCCGGTCTTTTGGTTTCTCAAAGGTCTTGCGACTGGATGCCTCTGGTCCTCATCAAGGGCAACAATTTGCCGATTGGGCATCCGCCCATGGAATGTACATGGACCTGATCCCACGAGGTGCTCATCACAGGCTTGGAATCCTGGAAAGAAATCATGCAGTCCGACGACGCATGCTGGAGATCTTCCGCAAAGACATGCCCGAAATGGATTTTGAACAGGCCATCTTGGTGACCTGCCATCAGAGAAACCGTTTGTCTTCGGTGAAAGGTGCTACGCCTGCCACTTTGGCATTTGGCTACGTTCCCTCCGAAGGAGGCAATGCTGATGACCCTGGACCCGAACAATTTGGGGACTCTGCTGACTTGGCGCAGGTCATGGAAGTCAAACAGAAGGCTGCACAGGCCTTCCACTCTGCCAACTTTGACTTGGCGGTTCGATCAGCCGCTTTGGCTCGGTCACGAGTGGATGAAGACGAGCTCATGGTGGGAGACTATGTCTACTACTGGAAGCCACAAACCCACAAGCTCGATCCTTTCAGGTGGCGTGGACCCGCGATGGTGGTGTCTGTGGAAGCCTCAATTGACCGCAAAACCATGATCTACTGGATCGTCCATGGCAGCTCACTGGTGAGAGCAACACGACAACAGCTGCGTTTTGAGACTGTCCCTGAGCGCTACGAGCGTCAGAGCAAGCCTGCCTACCTTGAGAGCATGCAGAAACCTTTGCAACAACGACTTTTGGAAGCTCTCAAGCCAGTGCGTGGTCCAGTGAGGGCCATTGACATTGCTGGCAAGGCTCAATCTCCTGACGATTTTCCTCAGCTTGGGGGGACTGGAGCAGCCGCTGTCGCACCTGGTGATGCCCCTCCACATGAACCACATGAGCCTCCTGACCCACCGAAAACTGATGACAAATCGAAATCGAAAGCTGATACATCGAAAACTGCAACTGCCGAACTTGACACTCCTGGCAAGCCTGCTGACAAGTCCAAAGCTCGGCCGAAGGCCAAACTGCCTGAACCCTGAATCGACTTTTGGGCCGACTACCCCGACAGTGAGAAAACCGAATCTGAATCCAAGACCACTGACAAGACTCTCTTGGATGAAATGGTGGCCAACAAGGACAAGAACCTGGATGACCACACTCAAGGCATGACCGACATCCAGAAGGAGATGAAACGGAAGCTGGAAGCAGAACACCCGGGCATCATGGACTCCTCGCATGGGGTGATCGACAGGCAAGATGATGAACCACCTGTGGACCCTGATGATGTGAGCGTTCGAGCCCGTGACAGACGCTTCTATGAACAAGCAGTACGTGCTGCCAGTTTCCTGTCCCACGAGAACAATCGACGATTGGATGGACTGCCTCCTTCCGGACGACAACTGCCTGCAAGTGCTGCCGCACAAGCATCACGACCTGCTGCAACTCTGGTGCCTCCCCGGACTGATGATGGTCAACCAAAGACAAAGCAACCTCGAACTGAGGAAGTGCGCATGGTGGAGGTCCCTGAGGACGAGGTCATGATGGCGGTCGTGGAGAGTCGGCTGTCTGCCGATGAGAAAAGAGCCTTCACAGAGGCCAAGCGTAAAGCTCTGGTCCCATGGCACGAGAACGATGCTGGCCCTTCAAGAGGACAGCCTGCCCTCCTGGAACCATCGTGCCGATGAGGTTCCTCTTGCGCTACAAAGAGAACAAACCACATGCTCGAGTCATTCTCCAAGGCTTCAAGCACAAGGATGTCATCGAGAGCAAGCTTGACACAGAGTCTCCAACGGTGTCAAGACTTGGCAAGTACCTGATGGTGACACTGTCCTGTGTCAAAAGATGGAAGCTCGCCACCATGGATGTGAAGTCTGCGTTTTTGCAGTCGGACTACATCACCGAGGAGGTGGAGATCTATGGTGAGCCCTCAGCTGACATGAGACGCTTGCTGGCTGAAATGATGGGACTTCAAGAACATCAGGTGATGCAGATGACGAAGCCTGCCTTTGGAGATGTCAGAGCACCCAGACAGTGGAACGAAACGGCAGATCGTGCGTTGATCCACGAGGTCAAGCTGTGGAAGCACGAGCTCGATGGCTGCATCTACATGTCAGTCAGACTGGCAGTGGATGGTGACCCTCCTTTTGAGGTGTTCGAGCACGAGGGCAACAACTATGTGGTGGAGTGCGCTGCAAAGAAGACGCACGGGAGCCCCATGGTGAGCCGACTTGCTATGCAGAGAGACTGCATGTCCTCCTGCATCGCTTCAAGTTTGGCAGCGTCGACTATGGCGACAAGCAAACGTTTTGTGGATGTCAAATGACGCAAGCCCTGGACTCTGCCACTGTCACCTTTGACCTGCAGAAGTACATCCACCAGCTCAAGCCCCTCAACATCGAGAAGGCCAGAAAAGCGCAGCCCAACGATAAGGCCACTCCGAAAGAGCAGAGCCAGTTGAGAGGCCTGCTAGGTGGGTTAGCCTGGCCTGCCAACCAAACGCAACTTCACCTTGCAGCGTCAGTGTCCCTGGCTCAGGCCGCTTCTGCCTGCGCAACCGTTTCTGAGTTGCTGGAAGGGAACAAAACGTTGAGGTATGCCAAAGAAAGCTCAGACGTGCACTTGGTCCTCAGAGGCCACGGACGGTTGGAAGAGATCAGATTTGGGATCTACAGCGACGCGTCCTGGTGCACAAGACCAGACGGGAGTTCCCAAGGTGGCTGGATCACCTTTGTCGCGACTGAGGCGGAGATTGGTGGCAACAAGCCTTTTCCCCTCACCGTGATCGACTGGTCTTCACGGAAGCTGACCCGGGTATGCCGAAGCTCGCTCAGTGCTGAAGCTCAAACCTTGGCAGCTGCAATCGACAGCCTGGAGTGGACCAAAACAGTGTTCGCCCTGATGATCTGGCCAGCTCTTCGACCAGACAATGAAGAGATGATGCGCTGGTTGGGCGACTCACCCTGCATCACTGATGCAAGAGCTCTCTTTGATGCCAGCAACAGCAAGGCCCCAGGAATGAAGCTTGCTGAGAAAAGAACTGCAATCGAAATCAAGATGGCATGCGAACGCATGGCTGCTGCTGGAGGAGTGCTCAAGTGGTGCAACAGTCATCAGCAGTTGGCTGATGGGGTCACAAAGGTGTCAGCACGGCAAAAGCTTGCAATGGAGCTTCGACGCCGCATGCACTGTCTGAGATATGATCCTGAGGGAACAGCTTCAAAGAAGGTCAAGCAGAACGTTCGCCAGGACGAGCAAGATTCACTTGATCAAGCTGCTCAGGAGTTCCAAAAACAACAAATGGTGAAGGATGGCATCTACAAGATCGAAGAGATGGAGTCAGAAGAAAAGATGGAGTGCAACATCTGCCTCTTGGACGGCTGTGGTTTGCCTGCTGAAGATGGCAAGCGTTTCTGTTCGAAGCGCCACTACCACGCCGCAAAGCACAAGCAGAGCAAAACGAGCTCAAACAAGAGCACTGGAGTGATCTGGTGCATGACTCTTGCCAACGAGATTGTGCCTGTGGCCGCTCTTGAGTTTGGGTTCGTGATCTTCCTCAGCTTTGACAAGATCATTGGGTTCTTCTTTTTCCTGGCTGTTGCCTTGGTGTTTTCGTATACCCTGGGCAAGCGTGCTGGACGCCGAGAAGCACATGATCTCATGGCCGCAACAGAGCCAACAGAGACAGCTGAGGAAGAGGTGCAAGCGCCTCAAACACCCAGAGCGAGAGCAAGGACAGACTGTCAACGCTTCACGGCTGGGGAGATTGGTTTCCTGGTGAGCGAGGGCTACGATGTCTGGTCCGACGAATTGGTGGAGCAAATCCGGCAGGACTTTCTTGCTGAGCTGCCTCCTTCAATCGAGGATCACCTGCCCCAAGCCGAGATCAACAGGGTGCTGAATGGCGAAGAGCAGGTGGCTCAGGTGCCGATCTCAGCTGGAGATTGGAATGGCATCAGCCGACAGCGCCGAGCCGAGATGGTTCAAGCTCTGGAGGACAGTTTGCTCTTGGGTGTCCCATACGAAGCTATGTGTGGTGCTCTGCAGACTGAAGCCCAAGCCCTACGAGCTCAACTGGCGACCGTACGGGTCGTAGAAGGTGAACTACAACCTCTGAGGGTGGTAACGAGTTCTGTGCCAGATTTGCCGGTTGGAACACTGGTAAGATCAAGTCCCGGCACTGGCAGCAACACTTGATTAGCTGAGCAAGTACAGAGGACACTTTTTGGCCTTTTTCACACCATTGAAATTTTTCATTTTCCGGCCTGTGTCGATGCCAGCTAATGCATGCATGTTGTTTGCACTGTGGCATGTGCAACTTACCATTTCCCCTGTTCACCCGCCGCTGGGCTCATAGGGCGCCCTTTTGAGTGGTGGCTGGCTACGAGGCGGTGTAACCGCATCAACAACGTGGAAAACAAGAAGCTGGTCCCATTCGCAACTTCGTGCGTGGTTTGGGAGGATCTGGATTGGGGGATAAGGAACTGTGGTTTCTAGGACTTCCTCTACTACCAGATCGATAATATATATATATATACATATATATATATATATGATCCCTGTTTACAGAGCTTTGACGGCAACGACAGCAACCGACCCATGCCGTCTTGTGTCAAGGTGTTCAAGTGGGATGGAGTAGACAGCCTGTTGGGCTGCACTCGCCTTTTGTAGCGGGTGGGTTGCTAGGGAGTTTTTCGTTAGTAAACCACCAGCTGCAGAGCCTCCTGCCTGTACCTGCAATTGCCACTGGCAGGGTAAATCCACGGAGGTCACTTGGAATCCACCTTACAGTGTCCTGATCCTCTTGGCTTTGGTTGGGTTTGGATTGATCTTTTCCCAGACTGCGTTGGCCTTCAAGATCAGCTACCAGGACGATCGCACTGGCGAGGACCGATCCCTGTCAGTGGCAGTTAAAGGTAAATCCAAGGGGGTGTTTGGGGCGAAGGGTCTGCAGTTGCGTGGTTGATCGCCATGGCGTTCACCCCAGGTAGCATTTGCTACTTGGATTACGGTGAGGCTCCACCATGCATCCATACTAGACTAGTCCTTGCAGCTTTGGATGATCCGAATGCACCTGGCGATTTCGTAGTCTGCAGTCCAGATTTGGACATCTTTGTAGAAGAATTAGAAGCTGGAAATGTCGATCTCACTGGTTTTTTTCCTGGTGTGGCCAATGGTATGCCACCTCCGGGAGTGAACCCAGCGCATATCTATGGTTTCCATACTATGAGGCCTGCTGACTACGCAAGATTGCTGGAAGCCGGAAGAAACGAAGCAAGTCGCGAGCGAGTTGCTCGAGGGTTGCCCCCTGTTGCAGTTGCTGTTGCTGGGCTTCCTGTTGCTGCTCCCGATGCTGGAACTCAAGTGTGGATCCTCGCTGAGTATGTTGAGGGAAGGAAAATAGGTGAACGTTTGATACCACCAGCGGGGCACCCGAAAAGTGGGCCTTGGGGTCTGATGGACGTTGTAGACAAGAACAATGTGAGCAAGCCATGTTTGATCCATCACATTCTGGAGACAGACATCCCTGCGTTCTGTGAGGAGCGTGTCCGGCTTGCACGCCTGACTGAGACCACAGAGGGCGATGATCGCCTGGCAGGAGAAGACGTCAGGACCCTGGAAGTGAGATATGGAATGAACGGTGAAAGGCTTCGCAATTTCAGAGAAAGCATCAATGAGGTTCAAGTTTGTGAGTTTGAGGACTTTCCGTTTGAGCCACGTACGGCCCTCGACTATGCCAAGGCCATAGCAAGCATTGCCGAGTCTGCCACGGCTCAGCATCACCTGTGGATTGGCGCATCTCGTATTGCGGAAGGGGAGCGAAGTGTGTATGAGGACGAGGTGTTAGCTCGTGTGTTGGACCTCGCAGTGACGTATGACAGTCTGAACATTGGGAACCTAGCTTGCATGGAGCTGGTATGCCGCAGAAGGCAGTTGATCTCGGATGCTCACTCCAGCAGCCTTGTTGCGCCCAGCTATACAGGAGCGGAACACTACCTGGGACAGACCTACAAGCATGGTGGAGGCATCGTTGTCCCAGCCCTCACAGACTTTGTGTCAAAGAAGATGCAGCCCAGTCCCAAATTTTGAAGGAGCGACGAAAATTGGCTCAGGCTAAGATCACCAAGAAGGGAAACCCCAATCCAAAGGCTGCCCCGAAGGCAGGGGCAGCCTCAAGCTCATGAAGATGAGTCCGGGCCCGGGTGTTGCTGCATCGCCCAAGGGTCCCTTCAGGAGAATGCAGCGTGCAAACTGGAGCAGCTCGGTTTTTCACAAACCCACGGGAGATGGACGTAAACGAGATGTCTTTCCTTTGCCAACTCTTGAATTAGAGCCTGCGCCTCGTGGGCAAGTGTGCCGATCGGTTGCCCAGCGAATTCAGTCTCGTCGGGCTGTCACTTTTGAGGTGAACAAGTCCATCAATGCCTTGAATTCATTGTTTTTTGGTGGTAATGGGCCTAGCCACGGGTCAACGGTTTCTTCACTGTGTCGCTTGCCTTCTAATCAGAGAGCGGCCATCGGAGATATCATTGATTCTGTGAAGCGGTTTGGTCCAAACCCCACTGGTGCAACTGGCTCAGAAGCCCTAGGGGCGCTTCGAGCGGCCTCGTCTGGATATGATGATGCTGGACTAGGCGTTGGTGATGTGGTGCCCCTCAACCTTGATCATCTCTCTCTGCCGGAAGGCTTGAAGTCAGGGGTGGATTTGTTGGGGGCGCTGGATGACAGTGTTCGTTGTGTTGTGGAGGATTTTGAGGAGCACATGTTGCAGGATGCTGATGTTTGGACATGGATCTCCAGAAATGCTCAAAAGCTAGTCCCTTATGACGACCCATCGCTTCGATCGAAAGGCAAGTACCTGGAGTTCCTGCGAGAGTTGCGCGACCGTGGAATTCTTGGCTTCACTCAGGACTGCCGCGGAAGGGTTGGAGCTTCACGGTTTCTAAGAAACCCAAAGAGCTTAATGGTGTTGTTAAACCCCGTCAACGTCTGGTGCTTGATTGTAGGCAAACTAACATGATGTTTAGACCATCCCCTCACACTCAGCTTGGGTCCCTGGCTTCTCTGTGCGACTTGGAGCTTGACGATGATCAAAATCTTTACATGGCTGGTGCGGATATCCAAGATTGCTTTTATGCGGTTAGGCTTCCGGCTGGGTTCGAACAGTTTTTTGTTCTTCGTGAAGATTTGACATTTGATGAGGCTAATTGGGTCACGCGATTATGGGAGTGTTTGTGCAAGCATGCGTCGGTTTTGTCCAGCCATTGTGGTATTACCTATGGGCTTCTCGTGGTCTTTTTATTTGGTTCAGCATATTCATGAGCAGTCAGTGTTGCGGAGCCTGCAAATTCCGCGGGATAACATCATATTGGAGGGACAGCCAGCACCGACAGTCAGAGACAGCGAAGTCTTGAGCATGCCCTATTGCGACAATATTCACACACTCTGCACAGATCCAGATATTTGCAACAGTAGCAAGTGTTTGATTTCCCGTGACTTGGAGGAGCTGGGCTTCCAGCTACATGAGGATGAGCCAGCATCCACTCTTTTCGAGACTTTGGGAGGAGTGGTTGATGGGTCCAGGGGAGAGGTGAGGGCCACAGCGCAACGTGCATGGCGAATCAAATTGGCCTTTGAACATGTTCTCACTATTCCTGTTTCTGGCAAGACTATTCAGAAGCTGCTAGGTCATGCAATGTTCTTGTGTGTTCTCAATCGTTGTGGTATGAGTATTTTTCGATCTCTTTACGATTTTGTTGAACGACATTCAGAGGCTGGTGGTAAGTATTGGCTACAAGGTAGAGAGGTTGAAGAGTGCAAGGTTTTTTCTGGCCTTATTCCATTGCTTTACAGTAGTTTGCGGAGGCATTGGAGCCCAACAGTCACTTGTACCGATGCTTCGCCTGCTGGCTATGGGGTTTGTGAGACAGTTTTGGACCCCAAAGATGTCAGCGACATTGGCAGGTGGCACGAGAAGTGGCGCTTCAAGCGGCTGAAGCCGGAGCATTGGAACCCTAGGAGACGAGCAGGGGGGCTGGATGTGTTGGGGGATCCCTCTTCTGTTTTGGGGGTCGATGAGGAGGAGCGTCTTTTAGATCAATATGTGGTTGATAAGGACTTCCCTGAAGTTAACCCAAAATTTTTGGATCCCAACGGGTGGCAGACAAAATTGATGGGCAAATGGAACAACACCACTGAGCACATTACAATCAAGGAAGGGCGGGCTCTGGTTCTGGCTTTTAGGCGGCTTTGTAGGGCTGGTCATTCCAGAGGAAAGAGGCATCTTTTTCTTTGTGACAATCTTTCATTGGTTTTTGCAGCAAACAAGGGTAGGGCACACAGCTATGACATGCTTCGCATTACACAGCAGTTGAGCGCACTGTCCCTAGCCGGTGGTTTCAGCTATAGAGATGGATTCCATCAGAGCACAATACCGCTGATGGCCCCTCGCGCGGGCAAGTCCGTGCGGGTTCTTTCCAACCCTTCCCATGTGGCACCACTGAAGCGGAGGGGGCCTGCGAGATTGTTGAGCAGCCCACCGCCGCAGAAGAGCTTCCCAATGAAACACGTTGTGAAGACTTGCGAGAAGAAGAAGGCCAAACCGGCCATTCGAGTGATGAGGAGCGCAAGCGTGAAGTCGAGACCACCACCTCGTCGAAGGGGCAGGATGACTATTCTGGAAGAAAGGTCAGTCAGTGCCGAGGTCCAGCACCAGTACCACAAGTATTTCGCAATGTTCGAGAATTTCTGCCAAACTTCAGGAATAAGCTGGCCCCCAGGAGACCAGGTAGACCTCGCCCTAGCGGACTTCCTAGACGTGATGTTCGTGGAGGGCCGGTCAGCCAACGAGGGGGAGAAGGTCGTGGCATCAGTGGAATACCATTTGCTGGAGTCAAAGGGTACTCTGGCGCACAGCCGTCGGGCCTTGAGGGGTTGGCGCAAAGAGAAGCCGCCTCAGAGCAGGCTGCCTCTTCCTGCATTGTTGGCAGAGGGCATGGCAATGGTACTATTAGGTCAAGGGAGGCGACTCAAAGCAATCAAGCTGCTGGTGGATCACGACACGTATCTGCGTCCTGGAGAATCCATAGATCTCAGAGGAAAGGGCCTGGTTGTTCCCATCATGGGTGGTGGTCAGCAGTATCGTCACTACAACCTCGTGGTGAGGGACGCCGAGGCTGGAAAGCCAGACAAGGTGGGAGTGTACGACAACAATGTGCCTTTCAACACACCGGGCAAGGAATACCTCGGGCAGATCCTGCATCAGCACGTGGCTCAGTTGAACAAACCAGAGGACAAGATCTACAACTTCAGCTCTGCAGACTTTCGAAAAGATTTTGCGGAGGCTGGAAAGATTTTAGGCATTTCAGGGCTGCACCCATATCAGCTTCGTCACGGAGGGGCAGCCGAGCAGCTGCATTCAGGTGTGAGGGACCATGCGGCCGTGAAGGCACGGGGTCGCTGGCACACCGACCAGTCTGTGAGACGCTACACCAAGACAGGGAAGATTCAGCAGCTCCTCTCCAAGTTGTCACCCGTCAGCTTGGAGTTCTGTCGGTGGTCGAAGCGAAACATGGAACAGGTCCTGAGGGGAAGTATCCGTCCTCGAGTGCCTCTTTAGATCTGGGATGGGAAGATGTTCTCAGTCTGGAAGTGTTGCCAAAACATTTCTGCCTGGAAATTTTTGCTGGCACGGCACGGATCACATCGCTCTACTACGTAGGGGTTTGAGGCCTTTTCCGATTGATATTTGTTTACATCAGTCTCACAACCTTTTGGATGTGCATGTGGAACATCGTATCATTCACCTTTTGGAGAGTGGTCAGGTACAGTTCTTATGGCTAGGTATGCCTTGCACTTCCTTTTCAGTGGCGCGCAAAAACGATGGTGTGGGTCCTGGACCATTGCGCGACGACGACAATTTGTTTGGGTTCAAATCATTGGGTGGCAAAAATTTACAGAAGGTTCAGGATGGTAACAATTTATTAAGGTTATCGCTACGGCTCCTTGCAGTTTGTGAACAACATGGCATTCCCTATGCATTGGAGAACCCTATGTCTAGTTTTGCTTGGAAGATGCCCAACATGAAGAAGTTTATCGCTCAATTTCGTCCTCAACTTATACATCTCGATTATTGCTGTTTTGGTGAAATGTGGAAAAATCGACAACACTGATGGGTAACTTTTGGAATATGGCAACCTTAGCCCTGCGATGTCGATCATCCAGCAATATCTGTTCTAGTACCCTGCAGCCCCACGTGCGGCTCACAGGAGTTGACGACAATGGTGTCTTCATGACCCTGAAGGCTCAGCCGTATCCTTTGGAGTTTTGTAAAGCAGTCGCCAACCTGATCACCATGGCCAATTGACACGCAATGGGATATGGGAGATATCACTGACATCACTTTTGAACACACCAGCCACAACCTGCCTTTGAAGAAGTGTGTGTCGTTGCTGGTGGCTATCACCACCTTTTTTGCGTTTGTGGCACTTCAAGGAAGTGCATATCAACTTGCAGGATGTCCCTGCATCTGGCAAAAAAGGTGCGAGAGTGAAGAGCCATATATATGTATATAATATATATATATATATATACATATGTGATATATATATATATATGTATATATATATGTATATATATATATATATGTGTATATATATATATGTATAAATATGTATAATATATATATGTATATATGTATAATATATATTTATGTATACTATGTATATTTATGTAATATATATATAGATGTGTTATATATATATATAAAGATGTGTTATATATATATATTTATATGTTGGTTGAAATTACAAGGCATTACATCACAAGCATCATATTAGAACCCGCTGCGCCAGCTACATAAATAGATACAAAGATCGATGCAAAGAGAGGCACATGCATGCATACATACGTTCGAAACATGCATGCACACGTGCCTGCAGGCATAAAGGCAGTCCACTTTTCCTTTTGCTTGCATTGCAATGCACCACCTCGATACATACATACTAACAAACAAAGATGCCAGCATAGATGAGAACATAAATGCAGACTACAGAAATATGCATAAATGTGTCCGTCGAATTTTGATTAAAACACGGATGCATAACAAGAACACTAAATACAGGTAGATTGGATGGCAGAAAATTAAAGGTTGGGAAGGATTAGACGAGCGATAGAGGAAATAAAGATAAATAGATTAGATAGATGGATGGATGGATAGATAGATAGATAGATGGATAGAATTAGGTAGATAGATAGAATTAGATAGATAGATAGATAGATAGATAGATAGAATTAGGTAGATAGATAGAATTAGATAGATAGATAGAATTAGATAGATAGATAGATAGATGGATAGATAGATAGATAGATAGATAGATAGATTAGATAGATAGATAGGGGGCTAGAGAGATAGAGAGATAGAGAGGTACGTAGGTAGGTAGGCAGATAGATAAGGCGAAGATAGGTGATATACAGATGGACGGGTAGATAGATAGACGGCTTGGTAGATTGATCGATAGATAAACAGAGAGATGACGAGAAAGAGAGAGAGAGAGAGAGTGGGATAGATGCATGGATACATAGACACATAGATGTAGATTCATAGATACATAGCTTAGACACACAGATACATAGATACATGAATACATAGATACGTAGCTTAGATACAAAGCTTAGATACATAGCTGAGATACATAGCTTAGATGCATAGCTGAGATACATTGCTTAGATACATAGCTTAGGTACATAGCTTACATAGATAGATAGATGGATGGATATGATAGATCGGATAGATTAGATAAAACAGATGGACTAGATAGATAGAGTAGAATACATAGATAGATAGATTAGATAGATTAGATAGATTAGATAGATTAGATAGATTAGATAGATTAGATAGATTGGATGGACGGACGGACGGACGGATGGATGGATGGATGGATGCATGGATGGATACGTAGGTAGGTAGCTAGCTAGCTAGGTAGGTAGGTAGGGCTAGAATGAAATATAGATCTATGGATACCGTAAAAAAACATTCACATCGCATGAACCTGCATTCCACTACTCTGTACTTGAAGTCCCAGCGCAACACAGATCAACACCGCTATTGCAGCGCAATATAATTATTTTGCATTGACTTGCCGCTAGATCCGGAGATGATCATAGCTGTCCAACTTTCGCGCTCTTGTACTTCCGTGCGCGTTTTCGCGTTTTCGCGTTTTCGCGTTTTCGCGTTTTGTTTCGTGTTTTCGCGTTTTGTTGCCCGTTTTCGCGGTTTGTTGCCCGTTTTCGCGTTTTCGCGTTTTCGCGCGGAAATGCCGCGCACCACCGGGGCCGAGACACACACATTTCCTGCACAGTTTCTAGGCCCTTCCTCTCTTCCCAAGCTCTCTTCCTTCACGGGTGAATTCTGGAACCATGGTTTCTGGACCCTTTGTGTCTTCAAGTTGCTTTTCAGAACCAGTTGCGATTTCGGCTTCAACTCGCTGCTGGGCTCGGCGCATTTCATCGATGCCCTGGTCCAGTTCAGCCTGAGTTGCCCTTCTTCTCGGAAACATAGTGGCCAGAGCTGCGTTGGGCTCATAACCTAGTGGATTTAACCGCCAGCCCCGCCACCAACGGAATACCCTCGCCTCCAGATCGGCAGCTCAAAGGGTTTTTGGCTCCATCGCAGAAGTCTTCGAAGGTTCTTGAAAGGCCAAAAGGTAGCTGCGGATGGCAGCATATGAATTGAAGTTGCGACTGGCACAAATGGAAAAAATCAAATTGGAAAAAGTCTGGTGAGTCTGGTGTCCAGCACTTTTGATCTCCATGTTGCCACTTCCTAATCGGGGCCCTTCAAATCAATCAAAGGTGGCTTCTGAATGGGTTTTAGATATTCCCCAGCACACCCTCAACTTTACATATTGGCCCGTCCCTTTGCTAAACATGCTTGTGGTAAAACGAAACCGATTTTGGTCCCAAAACATAGCGGAAGACACCGAAGCCGCCAAATTTCGGGTTCCAACTCTGGGGCCTTGCAAACATGCATTGCATTGCACGAACTTTTGCTTCTTTGGGGCTCTTTTTGGTGATTCTGCAAAGCGTCTCTGGCCCCGCTTTCCCCATTCGGGGCCCCACACACACACAGTTCACACACACATACACATATTTGTCGATGGATACACATATAAATATATAAATACATATATATATATATATGTATGTATATACACATACATATACGTACACATACATATACAATCAAACTATACGTTGTAAGTATTTTTTGTGTAAATCTATATTAGTTAATAATTTGCTCAAATGTTGTTATGAGATTTTTTCTACATTTCGTTGCCTGTCTTGAGCCATGGCTGAACATGTTTTCGGGTGTGACAGCTGCTTTGGAAGAGTGGGTGCTGTGGTTAGAATGTGGATATGGCTCAATGTAGGGGAACAAGTGGCCCCAAAAATGGCAATCTTGAAGGTTCGATTATTTGAGCCATACCAATGAAATGCTGGACCCAAGGCCCCGCGATATTCTGGCACCAAAAGCAACTCATAGCCACTTTTCCAATCTTTTCCGGGGGTCTGCCATGGTTTACCGCATTTATTTGTTTGAAAAACATCTCGAACCCAAGAGCAACACACACACACACAGGTGAGTCATGTGGCTGAACATTTAGCTGTCTTCAGATTGCGTGTCTCTCCCGCGTGGGCAGTTTGATTCAAGCCGATCTATCACGGGAATTGACTACAATCGAGACCCATCAATGAACCTTGTACGTGAGTGTAAATGGAGGGTTCTTTGACATGTGAGGCTGCGCCAATTGTTGTCCGGACCCGACAACTTCTACAAGTTCCACAACTTCTACAAGCTCCACGACTTCGACCACAGCAACGAGTTCAACGAGTTCAACGAGTTCAACGAGTTCAACGGCAGGGACGTCAAGTTTCAGCTCGACCGCGACGACAAAGAGTCCCTACAGTGGCGTTGCCAAGAAAATTTCGATGGTGTTTGTGAATTGGATATGATTCAAAATGTAAGAAAAAAACAAATTTGGATTTACAGATGACACTGACTCGATTTTGAGGACCTACTGGTGACCCATTTTGAAGATTTGTGAAGGACTGTTTGGGTAACTTGAGTGAACTCGGGAACCTCAGCCAGTGGCCAGGCTAGTTTTTTTTTGACATCCAACGGGGCAACCCAGCCCCAATTCGCAAGTTACGACACGAATGTTGGATGTTGTAAAGGCGCGTGGCAGGATAGTCCACTTCCTGCAAACGTTTCTTTCATTAGGGGAAATGAGCTCATGCAAGAGAAAGGAATAGTGGTGCACCCTGCAGTTCCAAACTTGTTTTTTGCATAGTAATATGGCAATATGCTGTAGACATCAGCAATGCAGATTCTCTGCAATATAGCTGAATAAAATATGTTTCCCAATTTGTAGAGGCTTGGGGGCCACAGGTCCTAAATCCTCCACATCAACTTGGGGTTGATGTGGACTGTGTTTTTTCATGTTTTTTTTCCGTGTTTGTGCTACGTTTTAGGCACCACCGGTGGAAAACTTGAAGCGCCATGAAGAACGACGCTTTGTTTTCAAATCATATTGACATTGACCAGATTTCTGCAGCCTCCTGCTTTGAAATGGATGTTTTTAGCGATAAGTTGATTGGATGACGTCCTCATCCGATTAAATAAGTCCACTGACATCCCAGCTGTTCCACTTGGGCCCTCCGCTGAGCCGAAGGTCACTATGGTCGCCACCGCCGATTCCGCAGGATTCGGCGGGCTCGCCAGCATGGCTCGCGCTGACGACCCAAGATCCAAACGACAGAGCCATGGATCAAAGGTTCAGACCCTCCACGGGACCAGAAATGTGGTTAAGCGTCGAGTTTTAGACATATTATATTAATTTATATTATATATTACTAGTTCCGGACGATCGTTGTGTGGATGACAATCATTTTGATATCTATCCATGCATCGGGTGTGGTAATGATCTGATTTAGTTTGCACGCTTGACAAGCTGGAAACTCCTCCAAGAAGAGCGTGCAGGGTCGGTTGTTGGTGAGTTGTTGGTGAGCTCAACGCACAGTTTGAATATGTTTGAATTATCTTTCACTAGATCTTCTTCCTGGTTGGAATGTATCCAAGTGTGTCTACTTCAGGGTTTTCTTTATGTTTTGAGTGTTTGGTCAGTCGTGCTCCGGCTCAGGAAGGCTAATCTTTTCGCTCCGTCAGATGTAAATGTTTCAGCGGAGGGCCAAAAAGACGCCTTCAAAGGTTTCCAAATTAGGTTCAGGATGTGGAGAGAGTTCTAGATGACCCCCAAAACTGATTGGCCCTTCAAGTTTTATTCTTTGTGTTTAAGTCCGAATTTGGGATGGTTCCGAAAATTATATCACACATCTTTGTGGCCGGATTGAATTTCACCCACAAGAGGATTGAAAACTGGCTTCTGGTGTTGGCTATCACCCATAAGTCCCGAGTCCCGAGTTGTGGTGTCCAAGTATCTTTGTAGTAGGGCCCAGTTGGAAAATGTATTTTCTCCATTGATGGCAATCAACAATTGGGGTATGCCGTATGCCCCATTCTCAGACAAACCCAGATGTGACATGCCACAAAAGATGTCTTGAAATCACACCCCCATCACTGCTGTGGTAGATTGTGGAGATGATAAGAAGGTACGTGGGGTCCAGATGAAAGTCTCATGGCCACTTTTCTTCACAGCTGAAAAGAAAGTGTAGTAACACATTGAACAGACGGAGTGCACGGCACAATGACAAGCAAGATTCCATCAAAATCAAAGTCTTCAAGCATCCGAACTTTCAATGATTGAATTTGATTGAATTTGATTGAGATGCAACAGATGTTGAAACACGACAGGCCCGCAAAAACACATGCATACCTTGCGATAAAGTTCCGATTCCACACTGAACAATTTCCAGATTCCGGACATGTTTTGTTGCACCTTCTGGGACTGTCAGTTTTTTCGTTCCGCGCGCCATGTAGCTGCGGTTGTCTAATGGAGGGCCATTTTCTGGAGCCAGGCTATTCTGTCCCCAGGACCTCCTATAGTGTGCCTTCGACCAACTACGAGGTGCCTCCCACGCAGAGCGTGGTGCCGGCCACCAACTATGAGGCACCGGGCAGCATCATGGCCGCCATTGCCCCCCGGCATGGGTGGCTACTCGGCCCCATCCACCACATACGACGTGCCTGGAAGCAATGATCGAACAGTCATGACGTATGCTGCACCTCTGCAGAGTGCTGAGCTGACTCCGGCCAGTACTTTCGCAACAACTTTCTCCAGTACCACCAATGAGGTTCCCTTCATGAAATATGCTGCTCCAATGGACCCGCTGCATAGCTATGGCTCGCCTGTCTCCAGCTTTCAGCCTCCGGCCACTCCGGAGCCCATCTCCACTGGGGCCTTCCTGGCAACGCATCCAGAACTGGCCACGTTGGACGGGACGGCCAGGGCGCTGTCGACGCCCGAGCCCCTGGCGGGTTATAGCACACCACTAGCCACTACGCCGGCGCGATGCTCGGAGACACCCACCACTTTGGTGGGGGCGACACCTCTGATACCCGGCTTTGTTGCAGATGCCTATACTATTTTCCCAGAAATGGTGATATGTTTGACAATATTTTTCTCATTGATTCTGGGTGATTCCTCATTTTTTCAACTTATCATTCAATTCTGCTTGGAACAGGCTGCATTTTTCTATTTTCTTTGTCGATCATTTTCCATTTCTCCGCTGGTAAATCCACCCAACATGTGGGAATCTACAGGAACAATCCCTCCCTTTTTTCCTCCTACTTCGTGATGAATCCATGTTAATCTACCCCTCATTGTCGGCTTTACCACACGTGGATTGTCGCCACAAAGTCAAACTAACTTAGGGTCTCAGCAAGATTTTTTTTCCACAACACATTTCCCAACATTTTTCAGTGAGATTCCACATTTTTTTGGTGGTTTCAGCACCTGAGGATGGGCACTGCACCAGTGACACCTCGCCAATCTCCAGCGCCGACGCCTTGGTCACCGGTGAGGTCAGTGAGGCAAGTGCCCATGCCCAGCAAAGTGGTCAAGGAGTCACATGGGTTCTGAAAATGTGGGGATGTGGGAAATCTATGGTGAATACATGGCAAAGATATGGTATAAAACCTGATAAACCCAACCACTTTGGAATCTATGATGAATATGTGGGATAAAACATGATCAGACATGATAAAGCCAGCCAGTATATGCCCATATGGGATATCAGGGGATCTCTATCAGGGGATGTGGGAAATATATATGTGGGGAATATATATATATTATATATATATATATATTATATATATTATATATATTATATATTATATATATGTGTGTGTTATATATATAATATGTCACGGTCAAAACATGAGTTAGATTCCCGTATTGGGGGTTGCTTCTCAATCGATTAATAGGGAGTTAAATATCCATTATAAGGATCCCCATTAATGGAATGGGTGACCATATACCATATACCGTCTCTTGACCCTAGCACATGGGACAAAAGATGATAAAGCCAAGAAGAATGGATATAAAGGGTATATTGGAAAGACTGATTTCCAATTACTTGAGTGGCCCACAGATCGATCGGTTCTTATATCATACCAATGTCCATTTGTTATTTCCCGTGGTATCCCCGTGAAATGTTCGTTTATACCTCTCTTGTAGCTTGCAAATTTCACCTGGAAAATATGAGAAACGTATTAGGTTTGAATTCCACTTTTACCCTGGGGGTCTCACTTCACAGTCCTAAAACGATACCACGCCCTTCATTGAATGTTGTTGGTACCTTTTTTTTGAGACATGCGCACATGGGAAACGATTGACGGGTGCAAGTTGTGGCAAAATGGGGTAGATGATGGCAAATGCTGTATATAAATGTACATTCAAAAAAACATAATTTTGTAGAATGTTTTATTTTGATCACAAAAAAAACATGTAGACCGCGCCCAGTTTTTCGAACTTAAAACCGGACATTCAGATGATTGTTCTTTGGGATAATTCACCCTGGTCAAGCCGCTGGGGGGTGGCCAGGTCGGTTTTTCTTCGAAGAAAAAAACAGAATTCTCGAGTTTCGAGGCTTTGCGGAAGAACGACCCCTTTCAAACTTTATGACGTTCTGGTCATGTTGTGTCCAATGTCCGGCTTTGTGAAACTCATCCCCATTCAGCATATTCAGCCGTCCAGGATACCAAGAACGCCATGGCGACGCAACACCATGCCATGGTCATGGCCAGCAAGGAACAGGGACAGCCCGAATTTCTGACTTCGCGAACTCGGGAAGTGGATGGCGCTGCACAGGATACCCAAGAGCATAAGCAACAGCTGGTGAACGGCTGCTTGGGCGCAAGGCTTGGGATTCTTATGAAAGGGTCCTTCTCTGAATAAGAACCGTAACTATAATTCCAAAACATCAGGATGTTGATGATGTTAGAACTATATAAATACCTGGATCTTCGAAAGGATACAAATAAGTGTCCGTTTCCAAGATTTCTGCCCTTAGGGCGGATTTCTTGTGAAGGAGCTGGAAATGGTCACTTTTTGATTATTGCCAAATTATTGCGGTTAATTTTGGATTTCGTGCCTTTTGGGCTGATCTTACTCTACTTTGCGTAAAAATGTGTCGATTTTTTTGGGCGGAAATTCCCAGGAAAAAGGCGGAAATACCCGGGAAAAGGGCGGAAATACCCGGGCAGATTCATCATGACTCAAAAATGAAAACATGAAGTGGCATGTTTTTTCTTGAAATGGTCATTTTTATTTTGAAATGGGTAAATCTCGAAAAAATGGTCAGAAATCAAACCAAAATCTGCCCTGGAAAGAAATTTGTAACCAATGAATATCCAGGTATTCCCAAACATTAGGATGTTGATGATGTTGAAACCTTCAACCTCGGGTTTTGTTGAGGGCTGCACACTGAAGTGATCTGGGGTTCACGCGTCCACGAGTTGATGCTGTTGAGGAGAGGCGGAGCATTGCATTTGAGGGTGCCCAATGTTTGGTACATACCAGTACGTGCGTAAGTATCTATACTGTACATCAGTCTTGTATTATAATATTCCATGATATTCTCAGATATTGTTAGTGAAGTGTCCCCACAACATAACATAACTCAAAACATGTTTGATGTGTTTGTTTCGTTCATTTTACATAGCTGGTTTCTCATCCTCGTCTCTAGTGATTGAACTTCATCTTGGCGGTTGGACAGCCAATTTATACCAAATTATGATGTTTTTGAAACTTTAGTTAATTTAGTTAATGTCCCATATTGATTGTCCTTGTCTTTGATTGGCTCTTGATGGTTAAATCAGTTAATCCATAATTTCTGATGTGTTCTGTTCTGATGGTCTTTGAGGGCTGCAATTTCTGATGGTTTTGATATGTTTTGATTGTTGCACCTCATGTTCAGATGATTTCTCAGGATATTAACCTCTCATTTCAGACCACCCTTCATGACTCAATCAATTCAATCTTGCAGTTTTGATGATTTCTGATGACTGACCTTCCTCAGCTTCCTGGAATTGCTGATGATTTTCGCATTGGTTCTTCCACCAATCTCAGAGAATCAGCAATTTTTCAGGAATCTACTGAGGAAATTGGTTCTTCCATTGGTTAATCCACCAATTCTAGCAGCCAATCATTTGAGGAATCTGAGAAGATCTCTCCATCTTTTTCGTGGCTCCCTGTGGCTCCGAGGCGAAGTGAGCAAGTTGTGACATCCTGGCCATGTCCCCATGGTGGCCATGTCCCCATGTTCCCGATGGATGTTTGAAGTGGACACACCGTAGGACTTGCCCAACGCCAGATAGTCAAGGGATGTCAAGGGTATTAAGGGCATCTAGCCCAACTGATTGTGATGATCAGAGAGGTCACTGTTAGTGGGAATCCAAGATAGGACACCACAGGGATTCCAAACATGACATCGTGCGTGGCCAAACTTGTCTGTTGGCCCTCAAACTTCCCTCACAGATATTTGGGCTTCTTGAATGGTTCCGCAGTTTTTTCAATTGGCGAGTCCAAACGTGCTTAGAATCTCTGCAGTTCGGGATTCCGCCCAAAATCCGGGCATGTACTGGAGGGTCTTCCGGGGACAAAAAGTCCGCTTTGTCGAAAAATAGGGTCCAAACCTAAAAGGCATCGGTTGTTTTCAAAGAAATAGACCAATAGCAACTTTGGTCATCCCACAAAAAAAAACAATGGTTGTTCCCCTCAAACCAATTATACATTTCATACGTTTTTCCCTATGAAAAAAAGAGGGGGGAAAAAGGCACCCCCACCCCAGGAACAACCCCTGGCAGGAGATCATCCAGGAATTCCTGAAGTTCAGATCATTGAGAAGGTGGTGGAAGTTCCAAGGCTTCTATAGCAACCTCACCTGGTTGAAGAGATCATCCACATCAAGGCTGGGATTTCAAGGGTTTTCAGTACTTGATGGGATGACCATCCGGTCATTGGGAAATCCCCGGTCAATACATGGAGCCAATGGAGCCAATGGAGACTGACCTGGTGGACCTAACAGAATCGCTTCCACAACACGTAAATGTGCATCGACTACATCTCCAAAACAATTTGAACCAGCTGCATGCAAAGAATTGCAAAGAGCTTTCATGGTCTCAGCTTCTATTACTGGTACCGCGGCCGCACATATGTGCTGGACTTGTCGCACAACAAGTTGCAGGTGTTGCTTCCAAAGGTCTTTGACAGTCTTGATCTCGACCGAGTGTACCTACAACACAATGACTTGTCTCAACTGCATACGGAGACCTTTCGTGGCCTCACCTTGAGTAAGAACGGCATCCTGGACATGTCGCGTTACAAGTTGCAGGATTTGCCTCCAAAGGTCTTTGACGGCATGCGTGGTTTGAAGATCCTGGACCTGGCGGAGAACGAGCTCCGGAGCCTTGGCGACAGACTGGAGCAGAATCAGCTGGCTCATCTTGATGGAGTTGAACCTGGGTGGCAACCGCCTCACAACGTTACCCAACGACCTCTTCAACGGTTTCACAAATCTTCGAAAGCCGCAGCTGCAGAGCAGTCAGCTGGAGAGACTTCCGCCAAAGCTGTTTCAGACTCTTGGCAAAGTTCGTTGGGCGTTTTCAGAACTTTAGAGTATGTGATGCAAGATGACAGCCTCATCTTCAGTGTCATAAATCATTTGAGTAACAAAATTATTGTACTGTATGTAATGCAATCGTTTAGTCTTGCTTCGCCTTGGCCTTTCGGAGGTTGCACAAAGCCATCCTTCACTGATGGGGGACGACCCCATCCCACCGATACCCCATCTGTGATACCTCGATCCAGGGAGTACTAAAATCCGACCGATAGATACCGATAGAGGAGGACCCTAATTTGTGCATGGCATTAAATTGAACAAGATTCAATGAGTCCGCTACTCATTTTGTTTCCTTTGAAACGCCACTTGTGACAATTTTCACACTTTCATATATAGCCTATGACAAAACAATGGGTCGTTTGCAAAAAGCTCTGAAGATCTGACGCAGTAATCTATCTCTGTGAGTTCCAAGGTCCGCCAGGGGTTGCACAGTTCCTACAAGGGTTTCTCAAACAACATGATTTGCCGTACTGTTGGTGAGATTGAGTTACAGTATTTATTTCCTCAAAGACCTGCAATTTTGCGAGCTATTCATACCGCAATATCCTCAACAGTTCAAGTCCTTTTTGCAAGTGACCGCTGAGGGAAATGTCAACCGGCCTTCCAATTTGCGTGATGGTTGGCAACGTTGCCATGTGGAAACCGAAACTGTTTGAGTTTGCTGAACTGCATTTATCCCTGCCAGCGGCTTGCGCCTGAGGAATTTGAGCTCGTTGAAGTTGCTGAACTTGAGTCGAAATGCACTTGAAGAACTGCCTCCCCGTCTTTTCCACGGGCTCAAATTGTCAGTGATCGACTTGAGTCACAACAAGCTGAGCACGCTGAATGCTACGCTGTTCGACCTGGAGAACCTCACTACTTTGGACCTGCGTGGAAACCGCCTGACTGACGCCACGCGGGAGGACCTGGCACGCCTCAAGGTGGAGCTCCATGTGGATTGAGGTGCTGTCCTGGAAATTGATGGAAATTGCCTTCGGAACTTGGGTCTGACTCTGATGATCTCAAGTTTTCTCCTCCGAGGCGGTGTTGAAGCTGCTACTAATTCACAGGTTTTCTCGCTGCAAGACTCGGAGCAAAGACTCGTGGTAAAAGTTGCGCGTCAGCTGTGAAGGTAGACACTCTCTGCACATGCTGCATGCGCTGCACGCAGCATACTATGATTGGTAGAGATGTTGCTTTGCAGGTTTTGTGGAGGAAAGATGCAATGTTGCAACAATTGACAGACCTTTGTGTTGGCCGAAACCTTGAGGCTCCAGTTTCGCGCCAGGAAACAGAATGGTTACCATGGATTCCCATGGCATTTGCACCATGTTTTTCCGCCATGACTTTGGAACCCTGATCTTATGATTGGCATTTGAGGCCCGCCCAACATGAAAAGAGATCTGAACCATGGGCAACAGGTGGCCAGGCTGAACGGCTGAACGGTGGACAAGTTTTGATCCTACACAGCTGCAGAAACACTTCCACTGCCATGGCCCGTATTCAAGTCCCAAAGAAGGGCACCTTCACGTGCGACAGCAGCACGGCAGAGTTGGCAGTGGAGTACTTGCGGCAAGTGTCACTTGGCTGTCACAGGCGGATCCAATGTGCCGTGGACACGATTGGACTTTGATTCGTTTTCGCGTTAGGTTTCTTGTTAACTGTTATATATTTATAATCTGTTCATATCTTTCAATGAAATGAAACGATGGCAAAACTGTGGGGTCGTCCTCCAAGCATTCCTGCAAGCGCTTGAGGTTGGATGAGCCTTGGCATGGCAATGTGCTGCTGTCCTGTGGTCCACACAAGTTGGAACCCAAACAGCAGCTGCAGGAATTCAATGCCGATTTTGTGCCTTGGTACGGGGTGTTGGTTTGTTTTTGTGGATGCTCCTGGTAACTTGATCTGCAGACAGACGGTTTGTGCTGCACTTGTTGCGAAATCTGCACGTACCCTGGAATAACGCAGGTGTTTTCAAAATCAGAGAGCCAGACTGTCCTCCATGCTCTCAGGTGTTCGCGAACTATTCGTGGCTAAGTTCCGGACCTCCAATTCATATCGCAGCAACAGAACTGCGAGGAATCACTATCGAACAGTTGTCTTCTCTGCGGCTTGGACCACACCAGCACACAGCATGGCAGATAACACGGCAATTCTGTTTTTTTGTTTTCACGTTCGCTTGTGAGCAAAGGGTCTGAAAAGCCTGAACACATCACATCACATCACATCACATCACATAATCGCAGACCTAAACTGAGCACCGAGGCTGGTCTTTGTAGAAGACGTTGCCTCCAGCTGGTGCGAAGCACACCACTTGGGATACGGGCAGCCTTTGTCTTTTGAGGCCAGGTGTTGGCATTTTAATTTCGGTCGTGTCGGTGGCACTGCAAGGAAGCGACTTAAAACGATGAAAAGCGTAAACAACAGCTGATAGTTGCAACTCTATTTTGTTGGAATTCCTCATTCTGAAGGCCTGCTGCATTTCCGATTCTAGTTGCTAGATTTCAGTTGCGAATCTCCGATCCGCGAGGCCTTCAATTTGTATCATGCGAATTTCTGGGTCATTGAACCTGCTACAGCCGGTCACGGAAGAGGTGGCTGCAGCTACGTCGAGCTGGTGGCCACCTCAGCTCAGATGCAACGACCCTTGTGGCAACCCGGCTCCCGGAACATGGTGGGAAAGCATGGAGTTCTTGGGAAAGGATGCGACGTGAATTGAGCCAAGCACGCTTCGCAATTGGAGATGTAGCCAAACATCAAAAGTCAGCACATTAAAATGATCAAACACAAAAAACGAACAAATGCTTCGAGTGGTTTGTTTGAAAGGGGTGTTCCTGAGTTTCCATGGCTCCAAGCTCTTCAAATGTAGTTGGTGAATGTTGAGGTTTGTCTCCCACGCTTGGCTGGAGCCGGTGTGCAAGTTCGTGGCGTGCCTCAAGTGTCACGCTTCTTTGCGTCAGCTGCCCGATCAAACGGCTTACTGGGTGTGCGCCTACGCCAACAACCAGCATCAGCTGGAGAATGAGATTTGCAACAACCCCCGGAAGACGTCCTTCTATCGCGCCATCCAGTTGTGCGCTGGGGTCTTGCTAGTCTTGGACGAGAACGCCACACCCTTCACTCGGACCTTTGCCTGAAAGTTGGGAGCATGGGTTGGCGAGGTTTGGCAGGCAAGACTAGACCCTTAAGATAGTTTTTGATTATGCAAAACATTGAACATCCTTTTCCTAAAGGAACGCCTCTCCCCAAAAGACACGCAGTTTACCCTTGCCCATTCATCTGCACAACAACAACAACAACAACAACAACCACAACCACAACCACAACCACAACCACAACCACAACCACAACAACAACAACAACAACCAACAACCAACAACCAACAACCAACAACCAACAACCAACAACCAACAACCAACAACCAACAACCAACAACCAACAACAACAACAACAACAACATCAACATCAACATCAACATCCTGAGCTTTATAAGGATTTGGTGTTGCTTTGAAGAGTCCATTGCAGTGGAAGAGCGCAACAAGGGGACGCTTGGCGTTGACTTTGACTTGCGGCTTGCTGCACATTGCATCGCTGATCGTGGTTTATTTTCAGACTTTGACCAATTCTCACCTCTCTTGCCTTTTGCTTCTGCATCACTCTTTCTTTCTGCTTCTGTCAGTGTTATCCATGTTCCCATCCTTGTTCCGATTGAGCCGGTGCTCTGAGCCTTCCAGGAACCCGTTGCTGCTGGATGTGGGGGCCACAGAGAACGGACGTGCCCATGTCATCACCGACGGCCTGGCGGGCGCCGAGCAGGAGATGATGCCGTTGCTTGGGTTCTTGGCGAAGAGTCGACGAGAGGCGGAATTCCCCACCGAAATTCTGATGTGACTTGGCCACTAAACGGTTGGGCCGGCTGGGTTGAGCGATTGTTTTGGGGCAATGCAGTTGCAATCAGAATTTGGTCAATTTTGGATGATTGTGTGAGGCAACAGGGTACAGATTCAGATAAGAGAGTAGAAGTGACAAGCGTTGATGATGCGCGTAGTCGGGGTGGTTGGGGCAATTGCGATCGGCAATATGTCCTGAGAATGGAAGCGACTACTGCCATGCCCTGCCACTTTGTTGTTGCATGTGCTGTATGTCACTCATTCTACTTTCACTCGCCAGCAGTGGCCTGGCAGTGTCGAGCTAAGGAAAGGCTTGGATGTCAACATTGCCAGCGCTATGGCAAGTGAACCCTCAGATAGGACCAAAATTCTAAACAGCATACGACTACCTCGAGCAGGGACTGTTTTTCTTGAACAAGAAGCCCGAGACACTCATGAAAGCAACTTGATTGATCTTGGGAGTTCTTTTCCTTCTGATTTCCTCTCACCCCGTGCTGAGTCAACCCATTCTCATCCATTCTCCATGTTGTGTCTCCAGGGGTCAGCACTTCAGCACTGGCTGTTTCCTTTGAAGTCTTGACCCAAAGGAATCATGTGCCCAAAATGCGTTCCGTTTCGCTTAGTTTTTGTCGCATTTGCGAAACCTTTTCCAAACTCTTGCGTTGAGGTTATGATGCGGTGGGCCGTGCGCTGGCCGGGCACTTTGCCTTAGCCAATTGGCCCCTTGGAATTTTGAGTGAAATGGCTCTTTTGATGTACTGTACATTTAATCATGTGACCATGTTTGAAAATTCGAATCAGACGCCTGTTTGTGGAGAGTACGATTGTGTCGTTCTGCCTCCCAAACGGCTTGGATCTTCGCCAAACGTGGCAGCTGAGGTTTTCTTCCATAGCGAAAGGTCTGGACACGTCGAGGTGGGCTGGTCCCAGCCGAAGCAGGGTTCGGGTACAGTGCAAGGTTCATCAGTCAAGAATTGTATGGATGGAATTAGTTCTAATGGTTTTCAATGGTTTTCACAGGGTGAAATCTGCCGATCATTCATTTTCCCCCAACAGCAAAACATTGCTATGGGGTCTTTAGCCCAGATTAGCTCCGGTGCGATCCGGTGCAGCTTCAACACCAGGTTCCGGACAAGGTTCCGGAAGTTTCCGGTGCAGATACCTCGTGAGGTTCCGGAGGGTTCCGGTGAAGATACCTGCTGAGGCTCCGGAGGGTTCTGTGCGGTTCCGGAGGGTTCCAGTGCAGATACCTTGTGAGGTTCCGGAGGGTTCTGGTGCAGATGCTTTGTGCAATTCCAAAGGGATCCGATGTTTTTATGGCATAGGCACTTCATCTTTATGGCATAAGCGCTTGATTTTTATGGCATAAACACTTTTTATGGCAAAAACGCAGAAGCTTTCAAGCTGTTCGGGATAACACCTGAGTTTATTTTAAACCATGGATTGAAGTTGGACTGTGGCACTTTCTCCTTGAATTAGAACCTGGAGATACCGCGAACACATTTGGGACTCTTTGACCTGCAATTTTGACGCTCCAGCCGCCTATAGGCTCTTAACAGCTCTGCAAAACGACGAGAAGCGACGCGTGGTGCAGCTCTCCTTGACGGGATGCTGCAACTTAAGCACAAAAGAGTGCTGCATACATCCAACGATGTCCACCAGAAAAAAATGGCGGGGCAAAAAATGAGGTCTAGAGTCTAAACGGAGCAAGTTGGGTATGGATAGAAAGAGATTATATAATTAGGAGTGCAACCTCCTAAGCCTGCGTCCCTAGCCCACTAAAAGGTGCTGAAAAGCTAAGATGTCGTTTGTTGGGTATGAATGGAGGGTTTAGAATCAATGCAAGGGGTTAATTTTTTCGCAGGCGGTCCGGTATGCC